GAGAGAGAGAGATCTTCCATCCACTGGTTCATTCCCTGAATGTCTGGGAGAGAGAGAGAGAGAGAGAGATCTTCCATCCACTGGTTCATTCCCCGAATGTCTGCGAGAGAGAGAGAGAGAGAGAGAGATCTTTCATCCACTGGTTCACTCCCCAAATGTCTGCTATGGCCAGAGTTGGGCCAGGCCAAAGCCAAGATCCTGGAGCTTCCTCTGTGCCTCCCCTATGGGTGCAGAGGCCCAAACACTTGGGCCATCTTCTGCTGCTTTTCCAGGGGCACTAGCAGGGAGATGGATCAGAAGTGGAGCAGCCAGGTCTTGAACCGGTGCCCATATGGGATGCTGGCATCACAGGCAGAGGCTTAACTTGCTGCACCATAAAGCCAGCCTCCACCATTTTCTTTAAAGATAGCTCCATCCCATGTCTGTGTCTATTGGCATACTCTGTTGCTTCTGTTACTCTCTCACTCACTCTCTATATATGTATCTCCTCTCTATATATCTCATATATACATATATCCTTTATATATATTTGTCATACATATATATATTCAGAAATGGGATTGCTGGATCATATGGTAGTTCTATATTTAACATTTGGAGGAAACTACTGTTCTCCATAGTGGCTACACCATCTGACATTTCCACCAGCAGTTCCAGTTGATCCACATCCTCATGAACACTCATTCTCATTTGTTTTTTGATGCTGGTCATCAGTTGTAGGAACAGGTGATCAATGTCAGTAATCGTCTGGAGATGCAAACCTCTACCACAAGGTAACCCCTCATACCCATTAAGATGGTCATTTCATATGTGTCTTGCCAGCTTTCAAGCACAAGGATGGTGGTATCCCAGAAATCAAGCTTAGTACTAGTATTTCAATTATTCTAGAAAATTTTCCCTAAATTTGCCCAAAATGTGATATCAAAATGGGTATAGGGGTAATAGGACATGAAACGAAATTAAACTATGTTCTGGTTTTCCTTTTTCATTACTTAACTACAGACAGTATTGTAACAATTATATATTTTCTTTCATTTAAGTCAGCATAGGTATAAATCACAAATGTCAAAAAAAGTAAAAGTAGTTAGCTAGAACAAATGTTAGGATAAAAAATAATAGATACACAATACAATGCTGATTCTGTTAAATATATGCTGTCATAATAACTGTGTACATGTGCAGATGCATGATAGTAGGATACACTGACAATTGGATAAATTTGGCTTCCCCATAGTATCTGTAGTAATTAGAGAAGTTTCCTTGATTGCATCTATAAAGCATTTACTTGAGTACATACGCAAACACAGCAGGAGGGAAAGTTTTCTATTAAGTAAGTGTGGGAAAATTTAAAATGTTCTAGTTCAGAGCTCTTCAAAGCCATCTACAAAATTTTATCAAAACATTTAATGTGCATCGCTTCTTGGCCTTTTGGCTAAGATCAAGTGTAAAACATTTAATGTTGCCCCCTGCATCACCCAGTGATAAATGTTAAAAAAAGAAAATGCAACAGAGTAATGGGAAACCAACTTAGGTTATGTTATTTGTACATCACTTGTCGTCAGTCTCTTTCATTTATTCACTCCTGTATTTCCAACATCTACAGTGGTGCCTATGAATGAATGCGGTATGCAAACAGATGCTGTAACAGTACTTCAGTAAAGATGAAGGAGATAGAAGTTGATCCAGAAAGGGAATTATTTAACCCTCAAAAAATTATCTGGAATGCACAGGTGCTACAAACAGAGAAAGCTAAAATTCTGCTCTATTAAGGCTGGGCATCAAGTGACATTTTTCAAATGAAAAGATGATACTTGGGGAAGAGGGATTCATACATTTTGGAATTCGGGCATGCCAAAGTCAATTCTTTGAATTTTCAATTTGGGTACAATAAAGCAAACAGCAGGAAAATAATTCCTGAGAACCCTGGTTCTACTCACAACCACATCACTGTAAGATTTTGAGCAATAAGGTGACAAAGTCCTCAGTTCAAAAATGACCAGAGATATCTTCCCTGTCTGCTTTGCAGAACTAGGTTAAGAATCAAATCAGATTTATATATTCTTCTTGTTTAATAATCTACAAGCAAAATGTCCCCACTGCAGTGAAAACCACGTGTTTGTGGCTGGCAGGGAGCTGGGTCACTGGGATCTCCCTTACAAGAAGCCAGTTGGAGACAGCTCCAAGCTGCAGCACCTTCTGGGTCTGCCACTGCACTTGAAGGTCCTGCTTTCTGCCACCCCAGGCATGAGTAAACCTGGTGGGCACTAGGACCTGGTGCTTCCTGCCCAGCTTGAGACTCTCCTCAATGGCAGCCAGTGCTCTGGACTCACCAGGGCTGGCCCAGAAGCCCTCGGAGCTACGTTTCAGTCTCCTCCTTTTCCCACTCATTCCCCCTCTTTTCCTCTCTCCTCTCACAGATGGTAGCCTGGCGGCTCTTCCTGCCATCTCTGTGCCTTCCTCCCGTTGTGCTGCTTCTGATTCAGTCTTGGTGTCTGAATTCCTGAAGATTCAACTCGCACAAGCCCTCAACTCCCAGTTGGGAGCAACCTCTGCCCCAACTTGAGATTTTATATTCGTGCCAGATATGTTCATAGGTATAAGCATTGTGGCGTTTACTGTCAGAATGTTTGCATTCTCGTTTCCCTCTTAGAATTAGATCCTACATTTATGAAAAACATGAGATAAAGCATTTTTCAGCACACATCTCTCATAGTGCTTGTATCACCTGAACACCTGCCCTAACAAAAACACTTGAGAAACACTTCTTGAGAACACAGTGAATGGCACAGCCCGAGTGAATCAGGGCTTTGGAGTTGTCAGTCATTTCCCAGCAGCCTCAGGGTGAGACTCAGATTCTTTCCCAAAGAGAAATCTTCCCTGTGGTTTCCTGTGTCCAGCAAGCTGGCCTGGGCTTGCTGAAGTCCAGAGGCGAGTGGCTGGCAAAGGCATTGCCTTCAGCTCCAATCAGCCTGCTCCTCATGGTCCAGTTCAGGTTGAATATTCTTGTCTCTTGGTTCTGGGTCATCCAGTGCAAGTGAACTGTAAGATAGGCCTCGTGGGGTATCAAGAGTTCCTTCTTCAACATATGCTCCTAACTTGGATTGATTTCTGCACAGTGACCCTTGGAAAGTGTTCAGCTGGGGGGTGGATGCCAAGAGTTCTCCATAGAGAGCTCATGTCTGCTGTTTTAGAAAAGATGCAGTCCTGGGCCTTGTGTCATTTTCACCTTACTCTCTTCTGTTTAATTCTATTTGTTTATCTGCATTATAGTTCAATTATGTAAATACCCCATGGATTTCAGATGTAGAGATTGCTAGCATGTGAAGCCATTGTATACTGTTAGTTTCAACAGTAACTTTTTTACTTACCCCACTACAAGAGTGTATTAGTTTATTTTAAGGTGGGTAAAGCTGTATTTCAACGTTATTTCTCCTTTTTTTCTTTCTATTTTTTTAGTCATTCCAAACATTTACTTTAGTTCATTCTTCAATACTCTTCTGTTTGCTTTCCAGACTCAGACTTTACACTGTTTTGCCGCCCTCTGTATAAGTCTGTTCCAAGATGGACACCTATAAAAGACAGCCCAGCTACAAGAAGCCAGTGCTTTCTGATCCAGCTGGTGTCTTTCATCTCTGCTTTCAATATCAAGGTCAGATTCAAAGCTGCTTCTTTCTGAAGATGGCAGGTCTGCTATTTCCCTTGGATTGGGCCCTTCTGCGGACTTGCAAGTGCCGGACCATCTGGCTCAGGAATGTTGTCCTTATTAGGTATTTGGAAAACAGGGCTGCTTTCATTCTGTGCCACCCCAAATGAATGAGGCCGACCGAAGCTACCGCAACAACCAGAACTTTGTAGTCTCTTCAGACGGTCTGGAAGCTCGTAGTCCTCCAGCACCAGTGCACCTGCCCACCAGCCGCTGTGCCTCTGTCGGCCAGCACCAGCACCGCCAGCAGGCCCTGGAGGCGGAACCTCATGCCACTGCCCCAGATCTGCACCCTCTCTTTCTTTTTCAAATGTTGCTTTTTCAAGGGGATTATAAAGTTGCACAGGGCAGGGGATGCTGGGAAAATGTGCTTGCCTGAAGCTAGGCAAAACGGATTTCAGTCTGGGCTCAATTTTATGCTGAGTAAGATCAATAACTTCTCTGAGCCTCTTCTTCTTTACTGACGTTGTAGGAAGGAATACAACTCAACCCTGTTACCCTAGAGGAGGAACAATATCATGACAAGTGCAATGCTATTACAAGAATCAGTACTAAATTGAGGACAGTTCTCTTTGCATTAAAGTCTGTAATTGGAATTGTAAAAAAAAAAAATAATTACTTTCAGTCAGACTCATGCTTGCCCAAAAGCTGGGGTAGTTTATAATCCTCCGAGTTCCTTACCAGGAAGCTGCTAATTCCATTTGGTGCAACGCTACCCTGAACAGCATTATGTTGGAAACTGGTCTTGTGGCTGTTCTGCACCTTAAAGTATTTCCAGTTTCTGTATTTCAGATGATATTCAAAAGTACTCTTGTTTCCCATTCCATGTTTCTTCCCAATAATCGCAATTTTCAGGATTATAGATAAAATAAGGCTAATGTGCATCTTTAGTGTGAAGCACCATCCACACATTGTAAAGGGACTGTCCAGACAGTTCTCAAACAAGGGCAGCTCAGTCCGTAAGAGCGTGGGTTTGGGAATCTCACGTGCTAGCTGCAAGCACTTAGGCACCTGCTTCCTGAAACCTTCATTGCTCCTCTGTAGCAGGCGTCTGATGGCCATGCTTATAGTCTGTTTAGAAAAGAACAGGTTACTACTTTTGCATGTTATAAATATTTCCTGTGTGGCTTAAGCTTTCAAAACCATGATTGATTTTCTGATTTCTGTTACAGAATGTTTTTCTTTTACTACAAAGTCAAAAAGTTATCCCTTGAAGACACAGAAAATAATCTTTTGAAATAAATGAAAGTGATGGAAACCTTGAATCCACCATTCGGAGGACAGAGCAAAGACCAGGCTACCAAGGTGAGAAGTGCCTGTTGAGAGGCAGGGGCTGGGTCAGGCAACACTGTTCCCTGTGCTCCCCGGTTTTGTCTTTCCCATCAATTAGTACGATAGGAAAAGACTTGTAGTGCTGGATGATGTCTTCCACAGAATCAAATCTCTGAAACACAGAAAAGAAAATTCATAGATTTTTTAAATATCTTTTTTTTATCTGTAGGTTTAAGTGTCCCATTTCGCTTAGCAAAGAGGTGAACTCATTAACATCTTCAGTATTTAAAAAATTGATTTTTTTTTACAAAAAAGGATGTACTATGCAAGCTCATGAAAGATAAGTGTAAGAACCATGACAATGGAGCAAAACAGAACTTAGAGCAAAAGTGAACTCTGGGCCAGCGCCATGGCTCACTTGGCTAATCCTCTGCCTGTGGCACCAGCACCCTGGGTTCTAGTCCCAGTTGGGGTGTCGGATTCTGTCCTGGTTGCTCCTCTTCCAGTCCAGCTCTCTGCTGTGGCCCAGGAAGGCAGTGGATGATGGCCCAAGTCCTTGGGCCCTGCACCCACATGGGAGACCAGGAGGAAGCACTTGGCTCGTGGCTTCGGATCGCCGGCTGTAGCAGGCATTTGCGGGGTGAACCAACGGAGGGAAGACCTTTCTCTCTGTCTCTCTCTCTCTCTCTCTCACTGTCTAACTCTGCCTGTCAAAAAAAAAAAAAAAAAAAAAAAAAGAAGAAGAAGAAGAAGCAGTGAACTCTGGAAACGTACAGTTCCTACCAGCAAAGTGTTCCTCAGAAGCAGGTGGCACTGGTCAAGCTTCGCTCTTGTTACAACTTTCCTATCCCGAAGACTTGGATGGGTTCATCATCCAGCACGCAGTCTTGTGGGATCTCTGATCCACCTGTTCCCTGACTGTGACCAACTAAAATGTAGAAGCTCTGAGCTTGGGCTGAGTGAACTGGATTGAATTGCCTGCAGTGGCCCTTCCCTCCTGCAAACCGTATTGCTCTAATGAATTCTGTGCACAGAAGGGACAGTGATGGCCACAGAACTGCTGATAGCTCTCAGTCAACTTAGCTTTCTCCCTGGGCTTCTTGTGAAATCTCAGGGTGGCTGCAGATCTCAGTGTTTTGAGAGATACACAGATAAATTGCTATGGCAATTTGATGGAAAGTGAGATTGTTTCAAGTCTAGGGGAATCAGCAAGTGCTTTGAAGTGGGTTTGATGTTATGGGGAGATTAAGATTAGTTTATCAGGTGGGTTTAGAGGATGTTCGGGACATGTCCAGGTGTTGAGAAGGCTGGAGCATAAATGGGAGTGCTGGTTAGGTGAGTTTGGAGAAGAGAACATTGGGAGATAATTAGGAAGAACTTGCATAACCTGCCTCCCAGTACTTAAGACAAGTTCAGTGCTCAGTAGCAAATCTGTGCACTTAGCAGGGCAGGTGGAATGATTTTTCTCTGAAGAGCTAAGGAAATTGAAACTCAGGGAAGTGGGCTGACTTGCTCAGGGTCACACAAGGGGAGATGCAGGGCCAGGAGTGGCCTTATTTTCTGGAAAATTATCTGTTTTGTCTATTATGTGACTTTGCCCATGACTAGTGACCTCTGATATCCCAACAGACCAGCATGGAGGGGACACATCCTGGGGGAAGAAAGCAGAGGGGACACTTTGATGCTGGTTTGATTTTGTCTCCTTTTTCCTCTTCCCAGGGCATCCTAGGTGCAGGAAAGCTGGCAAGTCTCAGATATACAAGGGACTTCAGAAAGATCATGGAAAAATGAAGATAAGCTTATCTTCATATAAAACATTGAAACCCATGCATTTTCCTACAATGTGTATTTTTCATGAAGTTTTTGAAGTTCCTTCATATGAATGGATTTAAAGAAGTTGTTGCTGAACTAAATTTATCTTTTAATTCCATTTTTCACAAACTTTTGGAAATTCCTTTGTTTCCAATGGAGAATGAGGTTGATAAGGTTTCTGTCCACATGTACATTACCTACTCATGGGAACAGACAGGAAATAATTTCCTATATGAACAGGTACTTTCATTTAGGAATGTATGTTGTGAAAATGTTCACCTTGGAGTTTGAGGATCTCATCTGATGACCCAGGAGCTTCCCTTGGGGGCTGCATGTGGGTGTTGGGTGGGAACATCCTCTTTCCTTTGAGGGAGCATCTGGTTGAAATGCTAGGAACTGTGACTTCTGTGGCCATCTCTGGAGGGTGTGAAGAGCAGATAGGCAGTGCACTGAGGCACAGACTTCAGGAAGGAAGCGTGGGGGCATATGTTTCTCAGTGTCCCCTCCGTTCCTGTCCTGGTCCCGTGAGTGAAGATACTTTCCCCCTCTCCCCACTGTGGCTGCTAGTTGTTGGGTTTGTCTTTTCAAACCCCAGGAGCACAGAGCTCTGACCCAGTCTGTAAGGGACTTGCCCCTGCAGCTGCCGCAGGGTTGGTGGCAGGGATTTCCTGGAGTTAACTTGTATATCAGTGCTTTCATGTGGCTGCAACAAAATACAATACGCTTGGTAGATATAAACAATGGAGATTTCTTTTCACAGCTGTGGAGGCTGGGAATCCCAAGATCAAGGCCCTGGGGTCTCCCTTATAAAGGCCCTCATCCCAGTCATGAGGATTCCACCTGCACAATGTCATTACCTACCAAAGCCCCATCTCCTAATTCCATCACCTTGGAGGTTAGGGTCTTAATATATGAATTTGTTTCATTTTGTTTCTTGGTGGGGGACAAGCCTGTAGGACATTGCACCACCTCTCTCAGATATCCAGTAAACACATGTTTCTACTCATACCAAGGCTAGGTGGTTTCCAAGTGGTCCAACAGAGAGAGTAATTGTCATACCACTGTGGGGTCATCCAAAGTAAAGGACCAACGGAGCCTAAACACCTGAGTTCAAAGCCTGGCTCTCCTCCTCAGTGTCTGTGTGACCTGGGGCAAGTTTCTTATACTCTGTGTCTCAGATTCTCTGTCCATGAACAGTGGTGGTAGTGTTAGGACCTGCCTCTGAGGTCCATTGAGAGGATTATCTGAGCTGATGCCTGCATTGCCTTTGGAAGAAAGCATGGCACACAGTGAGTGCCAGGAAGATGCCAGCCATCCCCACTCCTTCCCACCTCTGGCTCAGCCAAGAACACCAGCAGAGAGCAATGGAATCTTGAGGACATTCCTAAACTCTATCCGAAGTCTTTAGGAAGAAAGTTCCTGTCTTTCATTTCCAATGATAAACTAAGGATTAAGTTTTCTTCCTCTGTCATCACATTTGACAACACCAGAAGGGATTAATGAAAATAAGCTTTCCCAACAGAATTCTCCCGTGAGATGGGCTAACCCATTGCTATAAGGAAATCTTCTTTTCTGATCTCAATCTTCAGAGGCAAATGCTTTGGTTTCTCATTCCTGTTTTCTTTAGCATTTCCCCAGATAATGGATTCAGTATTAATTGTTTTAATAATCTACACGACGACATTTTATATGAAATTACAATTTTAACAGGTGGTAGGAAGCAAGGCAGGAACAATTAATCATACTGTCATTTCTTATTATTGGCTTGTGTGAGTCTGGTGGGCTCACGTCTGAAATTCTGCCCTAAAGAGACTTTTAAAAACATTATAATTAGGCTTTTTTTATGTAAAATTATTTTTCAGGGGGACAGCAAATGTGATGCTATTAGATCTTAAAATCTGTTTAAACCTTTTGTTTATTCTCTGCGGGGACTGTAGTCAATGTCTCCTTGCCAGAAGGAAATAAATGTGGGTACACACTTAGGAGTGAAAGAAGGAAAGAGACAGAGACAGAGAGAGAGAGAGAGAAGGGGGAAGGAGGGGAGAGGAGAAGAGAGGAGAGGAGAGAGAGAGAAGGGGGAGGGAGGGGAGAGGAGAGGAGAGGAGAGGAGGGGAGATTGAGATGGAGAAATGTGTGGATGTCAGGAGAGAAAGAGGAAAAGGAAGCAGACAAAGGAGTAGAGAAATACATCTATGGTGCAGTTTGTTTCTGTCTCCTAGTCTTTAACGTGTAATCTGTCAAGTGAATGTCTACTGTAATTTTCAAGCCCTTAAACATTTGCAGAGCAAGGAAAGTCTTTTAGTTGAAATGGCTCCCTTCTCTCCCTTCCTTGAGCGTTCAAAGCAATGTTGGCAAACACAGCTTGGAAGACTTCAAGGCAGGGCTGATGTTTGATGTAGGCAGAGCTCTGGCTCTGCAGGTTGTTTATGGCAGGTGTCTCCTAGTGGCCAGGGCCAGTGTTCCACCAATCTGCCGTTTGCTCAGCTGCATGCATAGATCTGCACAGTGTTCCCAGAGCAGACACTGAATCTAATCTAGTGCAGGCACAAAAGCAATGCTTAGCTAACAGTAAATGAATAGTTGGGCATAGTGGGCTGACTAGTGCTCCCACCCTCACCCCAGAATCTGTGAATGTTACTGTGCATGTTATTGTTTTATTGGTAAAATATGGTGTCAAGGATCTTGAGAGGAGGAGCTTTCGAGAGGGTGTCTGGCTGGATTCTAGAAACCATCATGATATCCTTCTAAGACAGAAGAAGGTGGCAGAGATTAAAGGTGATTTAAGGTTGTGTGACCACAGAGGTAGGGGCTGGGGCCAAAGGTTGTCCACAGCCTCCAGAAGCAGCAAGAGGAAAAGGTTTCAGACTTGCAGCCCCAGAACTATGAGAGAATATAGCCTGAAGCCCCCCGACTTGTGGTCCTTATGAGAGCGGCTGTAGGAAAAAAACGCAATGGGTGATCCCTAAATTTGAACCCAGACATGAATTTTCAGCACCTGGCTAACTGACCCAATAACTAACATACAGTACAATGGTGCTTCCAAGTTGTATGCTTCACAGGCATGCCTGGGTTTGCCCGCCCCCTATGCTGTTTGGGGGTACAGAGATGGGGAGCCTTCCCTGGGTTTCACCCAGGCTTCTCCTGTAGTCCTCATGGTCCCATGTGAGTATTTCCTCTGGTGCCTGGGGCACAGAGCCCTCATTAAAGGGCTCAGGGGGGCTGGTGCTGTGGCGCAGCGGGTTAACACCCTGGCCTGAAGCGCCAGCATCCCATATGGGCGCCAGTTCCAGTCTTGGCTGCTCCACTTCCGATCCAGCTCTCTCTTATGGCCTGGGAAAACAGTAGAAGATGGCTCAAGTC